GTTAGATAGGCAGGATAAAGCTAGTAACAGTTAGCGATAAGGTTAGATATGCAGGATGAAGCTAGGAACGGTTAGCGATAGGGTTAGATAGGTAGGATAAAGCTAGGAACGGCTAGCATTAGGTTTAGATAGGCAGGATAAAGCTAGGAACGGCTAGCATTAGGGTTAGATAGGCAGGATAAAGCTAGTAACAGTTAGCGATAGGGTTACACCAGCAGGATAAAGCTAGGAACAGTTAGCGATAGGGTTAGATAGGCAGGATAAAGCTAGGAACAGTTAGCGATAGGGTTACACCGGCAGGATGAAGCTAGGAACGGTTAGGCTGAGTACAGGAACACTCTAAGCAGTACTTGATGACATCCAGCTAGGATCATGGCGGAGCAGATAATACTACGCACACGGCATAACAGACAAACAATACAGGATATACAGTAAACACTAAACGTGATATAACAACACAAACCAAACCGGCCGCCAGGGCGAGACTGACAGGGCAGACGGCGGAGCAGGCCTGTGGCTGGTTGGGAAGGTCCAGGCAGGTGCCTTAACCCTCAGCTGGAGATCTCCCAGGACAGAATCCAGAGTCGACCAGACTGAGAGAGGTGCTGACCGGGTGCAGACAGAGCAGCAGAGTGGGTCCAGAACTAAGGTGAAGGATGCGCTGGTTACAAGCATGAAGCATGACCAGAGCTAAAAGCACAACGACAGTCCAACAGTCCAGCATCGAGCAGTGGTCTGATGTGGCTGTGACTGGAGAAGGTGATGAGCTGCAGGTGGACCACCACAGCGCTGGTGTGTTCACTCAGGTGATTATCCAGTAGCCTGTACCTGCCTGCATTCCACACAAACACTTGAGGAAAACAGCAGACAGGGAAAGGAGAAGAAGGAGAGCTGCTGTTGAGGGTTGAAGTTCCTCCAGTGAAGAACGACAGCGAGGCGAAGCTGGAGACCCTGGTTGCTTTAGTCAGACCGCCAGAACAGAACCACTGCTGTAGGCACTCAGAAAAGGTCCATCCAGTTTTATTTACACAGCGATAATTCACAAAATATGTCAGTTGTCAATTTCTGTCCAGGAGTGATGCTTTTATTTTGACAGGAACTATAGAAGCAGCTTTTACTGTGACAGTGATGTTTGAGGAGTTTTAAATATCACAGACAAAAATAGCTCAGAGCAAAGTTCGTCATGTTTCCTTCTGTGCTTTTATTCTGTCTCTTCAGCGTCGTCATGTCTGAAAACAAACTGGCTTCAGTGGACTTTGAGGTTTTTGGGAACGTTCAGGGTACGTCACATGACCGCAACGAGACGTGGAATGTTGGTTTTCAGTGTGTGATCCATGAGCACGTGCATTCTGACCATGTGCTTGTGTTCCTTGTGTTCAGGTGTTTGCTTCAGGATGGTGAGTTTCACATGAATGACATGAAACAACCGTGACAGCAGCCGAACCCTCTGTTTCCTGATGTGTCACTGCCTTCACATACTTAAACAGATTGAAACTCACACCACAGAAAGTCCACAATTGTTAATACTACAGATTTTATTTTTTAAATTAAATACATATATTTTTAAAAATGTAATAATAAAAAGACACGACTGCTGTTTAAAACAATGTTCTTCCAGAAAGTAGAAAAGAGATGGCTGATTTATAAAACACTAAAGCAATCATGTTGTTAGAAAAATCCTGGTTCTTCAATGTTCCATCACCAACCAAAGAACGTCTTTCATTAGGGGTTAGGGTTATTCACCGACTTTATGTGGTTCTTAAAATACTGAAAGTTATTCCTTTTTATTGTAGTACTTTAGTTTTATGGTAGATAACAGCACAAGATTAGAACTGCACTATATGGATGGATGGATGGATGGATGGATGGATGGATGGATGGATGGATGGATGATGGATGGATGGATGGA